CTGTACAGGTCTATTATATCATTCATACAGTTTTTAGTGTCATTCTAATCTTATCTATTTCATTGTTAATTGTAGTACTTGCTATCATCACAGAAACCAAAATGCCTAGTGACGAGACAATTTTCGTGAAGTTGGGAGAAATCCCTGTAATAAATGATGGTTGGACCACAGCTGTCAATTGTTACTCCAAAGTGAAGGAGTTTAACAACCTGACCAAGTTGACATTGAATGTGGCTGAGAGTGGTATTAAGAAAGCAGTAGAAATCACTAGCCCTGTAGTGACTAACTACAAAGCACAAAGTAAGTCAACATTTATTTATTGTATCACATTTAAGATTTACAGAGTGACAAACTGCCTTAATAAAAAATTACTATTACAGTGGGGTTTTATTTGAAGGTGGAGGCGTGGTGGCTAAATGGTAAAGGGCTTGGATCCAAACCTAGGGGTCCTGGGATTTTTTATTTCGGGATCTTCAGTGACTTAGTCCACCCAGCTCTAATGGGTACCAGACATTAGTTGAGGAAAAGTAAAGGCTGATGTTTATTGTGCTGGCCCCATGACACTGTTGATAACTGTGGGTTACAGAAATAGATGTTGCTTGAGGTAGCTATGGTGAATAGAGCTTTTAAAGAATGCTGAATTGTTATTGTTATTTCCTTTTTACGGTTTGATTTATTTTGATGATCTATTTCAGTGAATTTTGATTTCTCAAAGTAACAGAAATATACAACTATTCACCCATTCTGTCTTCTGCTTAATATACTGTCTGTCATTCCCTCACATATACACACACCTAGCATAACAATTATTTCAGTAAGTCTAACTTTTTTTGTTATAAACAGTGAACAAACATTTTGGAAAAAAGACCAACCAATGGGCATTAGAGGTCAAGCTATGGTTACAAAAATTAACATGTAAATAGAAAAAAACCTCACAGGCACTGTTTCCTCGTTTACAAAACATTTTCTTTTAGAATACATCGAATCACTGTACATGTACCCTATTATCTCATTATAACCAAAACCTTGTATGACATAGCAGCCGAGAACATTATGATACTCAGTCATGGCAAAAAAAAAGCCAATCTAGAAGAAGATTCTTAATAAAGTAAACAGAGACATTCGTTTTACCATAGTTTACAACTAATAGAGAAACTGTACTATTTGTCAAGGTTTAAGACATTATTTTTGTATTTATTAAAATATTTTGAGAATGTCTTTTAGTTTTAGTTTTGTTTATCAAAACTATATTTATTACAGTTGAAAGTGTCAACACATATGCCTGTGCCAGGTTAGAAGATATAGAAGCCAAGTATCCTGTAATCAAGCAACCAACTAATGAGGTTAGTTTTATGACTTCGTTTCTGATATTTTCAAATTCTGTGGAAGAGACCGTCTTGAATCACTTGCTTACACATATTTTAAAATATAACACTTCTAAAGAAATGTAATATATATATATTTATAGCTTTTATATAGCGCTACTTTCATGCTTATAGCATGCTCAGAGCGCTTTGGTCCAATCTCATTTGTGGACCAGTGGGGGGGAGGGGGTATCTAGGAGTTGGTCTTCCGTGCTGCCTTTAGGCGCTCAGTAAACACAACTCTGCCAGAGTCGGGTGTCGAACCTCGAGCCCCCTTCTAGGTAGTCAAGCTAAGCTCAAGCGCACTTAGCCTCTCGACCACACTTCCCATATATTTAACAGTTGCTATAGCATCTCAGTTAAAAAACTTTCCTTCATTGCTAAGAGTTTTCCAATCAAATCCTTACATATAATATAAATTATATTTAAAAAGCCAATGTCTATCAATCCTCACATTATAAAGCTTGCAGAACTTTTCATGACTGCTAAGACCCATAAGTGACATTTGATATATAATGCTAATTTTCATTTTAGCACAATACCTCTGTTCAATTTCATGGAACCATCTGGGAAAAACCTAGACACAGATCTTGAAAACAGCTCTAACTATTTTCCTAGCAATTAGACGATAATATATCAGTGGGAAAATAATAACTTTCTCGTTGGCCATTCTGGGAAAATTCTTTTGTTTCGTTGTTATAGTTTTTTAAAGTATAAAAAGAAACAAATCTAAATTTAGCTAGAGAACTAGAAAATATTCATCTTGAATTTAGGTATTTCTGCATTCATTTAAGAGTTTAAAAAATTTATGTTTAGGAACATTTTGTGCATCATCTTCTAAACTAAATCTAAAAAAAAAAATGTTTTACACGTTCCTGATGTTCCTTCAGTGTTAAAGATAATTTACTTCCTTGTCCAACCTCCTGCAGGACGATGGGGGCAGGGTATGAATCCGGGTCCATCGATGAATTCCAAATAACATTCCGCACCACCAGGCAGCCATCAAATCTAGATCTTAAGGCCTATCATTGGAATATTAATCAAGTCTAGTAGATCTATAAATTTGCTTAACCAGGATTCTTTCTTGGAGATATTAGGGTAGGGTAATTTTTTTAAACATTTAGCATTCATTGGTTATTTAAGAGAAAATAATCGCTTTATAAGTTTAAAGGAGGTTGTCAATGATATGAGGACTATTATGACATTAATTTGTAGGATTACAGTCCAGAGATTGGACTAACATCAATTACAGGAACTACTTTCGATCATGATATAGTATGCAGTAGTTTATTTACATTAAAAAAATCTTGACTCCCAGTACACAGTTCACTTTTATTCCAATACATATATATTTACTTTGTTAACTTTCTAACTTCACTTGTAACATGGTCATATCACAAGTCCACTACTTGACTTCACAAAGCTTATTTCGTCAACTTATTAAAGACTAACTTGTTACATGGCTTCCACTTGATCAGAAAACTTGCTACAACTGACTAGAAACTAACTTGTTTATGTTACATCAAGTCATTTGACCAATTTTACTGCTACAACTATCTCTTTATCTCTCATATGACTTTACTTTTGGTTATAGTGTTCACTATTTACAATTTAACGCTCTGTATTCTCAAAATTCACCAGAGTACAATAAGTTACAATAATTTAACTATTTTAACTGTGACAGGGGTAATGTCTTATTTTAAAAAAAAAGTATATTTAAATGTTTTTCTGGTTTTATAGTTTAAGTATTTTTTTTTTTTAAAGTTGAAAGATGCATGCTTGGACTATGTCCAGCCAGTTGTTGGTAAAGTCAAGCCTGTGGTCACTTATGCCCAAGGAGTTGTAAATTCTGGGAAGAAAAAGGTAACTTTACCCCCTCCCCCCTCTGTAGCATTAAAATAATTTTATATATACTGGTATGTGATTGTCTTAACAACAGATGTTTAAGTATTTTTACTTTTAAACAGTATCAGTGCTTTTTTGTAATTTTGTTTTTTGACCAGGTAAACGATATTAAAACATGTGGCAGTAATTTAGTAACTGGGGCTCGTGACCTTGGTGTTGGTACTGTAACAAGAGCAGTGACCATGACCTTACAGACCCCACCAGGCCGTTTTGTAACAAAAACTGTGGATGGTGCCCTATCATGTGCTGATGATCTGATGGACAGATACATTCCTGAACAAAGTATGTATCTTTATTTTTTTCGTATTGTTCAGATGTAACTTTATCATGATACTAGTTTCACTGTGTTCAACCTCATAATACATTTATGTAACTTATGTTAGTAATTGATTTTTGTTTTGTTTTAGCTGAGCCAGTTGCTAAAGATGATGACAACAATGAGATTGAAGGAGCTAGGCCTGAACAGATGACCCTCATGGAGCCAAGTCCTGAAAGAGTGGCTGTGCATTTCAGAACTGTCAGTACAAAGCTTAGAAGACGAATGTTCCAAAAGGCTATGAGGGACTTTCAAGGGGCAAAGCTAAGAACAATGGAAGCTGTTGGGAAATTGCACAATACTGTGGACTTGGTAAGAGCATTTTGAAAATAGTTGTTTCGACAAACTCTTTTTAGTATGTGTTACAGATATGTCATTAAACTCAGAATACATTTTAAAGATATTAACATGTGTAGAGAGTGATGGTTTTATTATTATATGACTTATATCTTTACACTTGGTTATAAAATTAAGAATGACACTAAATAAACTTGTACCTATTTTGGACGACTTACATTAAAATAAGAAAATCGTTTCTGATTTTAATGTATTTCTTATTTTAGATTGATTATGCCAAGAATAATTTGAACTCCGCCAAGGACAAAGTGGAAGATTTGTGGAATAAAATCAATGAGACTTCAGAAGAATCACAGGACAAACCAGAAACATCTGGAGTAAGTTATTATTAAGATTGAATCTATAAATGATTTAATAAATAACTTTTAAATGTTTAACATTTTCTAATGTTCAGAAAGTTCTACTACTATATAACCGTTGCTAAAAACTTAGGAGGGAGGAGTTTTTTTTGTGTAAGAGCATTGAGCTGATAATCTGTTGGACTGGGTAATGGTTTGATTCCTGTCAGTGGCTCATTAATTAAATGTAGAAGCACTGGAATTCACTCAACAATTAGGTTTCATGTTTGCTAGAGGAAATTAAAAGCAATGGCTGATGTTTGCTATGCAACATACTTGTGAACAAGCATTGCCCAATGAATTAGTTGAACATATTTTCATTTACAAAAAAAATTATGTTGTAGCATTATAATGCAAATGACAAATTCTGAAAAGTATCTTGTATTTCTAGACTTTCGAGCAGCGTATTGTTTCCCTTGGACGTCTTCTGGCAGCAAGAGTTAAAAATGGAATATCAACATTAGAAAAGGCGTCAGCTGAAGTTGGTCAGTTTATCAGACATCCAATCAGCAAGACAGAAGAATACAAGCATTTCATATACATGTTCAGCACAGTACGTCTGTTTCTTTAACTAGACATTACTTAAACCTTGCATTTGATTATCTTTATTGGTACTAAATCTATCATTTCTGTATATTTCAGGATATTTCAAATTTTAGTGTAAAAAAAGCAAAGGAAAGTTTGACCTATATTCAGAACAGATTGGCTCAAATGGCAGATAATGTAGAGTCTGCTGAATGGCTGGTAATTTTATTAATCAATTTTTTTTTCTTCTTTATGTGCTACAGATAAAGAACACATGCATCATCATAAAGAACTGTCTCAACAGACTCACAATCCACTTATCAGGCATTCACACATCACTTCAAGCCTAAAAGAGCTGACCACTTTTAGTCTGATATAATCCACCATATAATGGGAAAATTTAAAATGTTATTCTGCAATGGCTTCAGGGGCTTATTTTATAATTGGAAATGAAAAAGCAGGGTCATTTATGGAATACCAATAAAAAATGGAGCTTTCATAAGAGGAATCATCCACTCTTATGCAACAGTCATACATTCTATTTTAGAGTTCTTATCCCACTTCAGATTTGCCTAAGTACCTCGGCAAGCTTGTATAGCTGTATGGCATTGCAGAAGAAAACAGCATGATACTTTCAAAATCTCATGTCTAGAAAACAAAGAAGACATATACAATACACACAAGTTGTTTTTTTTAAGACATTAGTCCCTGTGAATGATTTTAGATCATCAAATATATATTGAATTCTTGAGTTCATCTGGAAACATTTTTAAAACATGGTCCTATGATGCCCTATCCCATTAGGGCCCTACCCTACTTAATCGTTTCACAGCAGGTCTTAATGGGTTAATTTGTACATAATTAACTTCAGCTTCGCACCTCCATGCAAATGCAAGTTAAAATCTTTAATACAATTTTAATACTGCTCATTAGTAACTCTGGAACAATATTGATACATGTCAGCCCTTCACACTGCCATCCTATTAGTGCAGATGGTGGACACTTGATTGTATACTGTTTGAGACTGGACTTGTAAGAAATGTTTTAGAGTTTGAATGGGATTCCCACCTAGATAAAACAACTTTGAAGTTGTGTACAACAAAGGCGAATTGTCATATTTGTGTATTTTGTGTCATTATTTCATTTGATTGCCATAGATTTACAATATTTATGGTTTAAGATCTATAATAATCACACACTTCTTTAATTAGCTTTCCATTACTGTGTATAAAGAAAAAATAATTTCTGTGCACATGCCAGATTCCTATTGTTAATTTTTTTGTTAACTAAGAGGCAATGTGATAATACTGTGTACCGGTACTAAGTTAGACTCAAGAACTATATTTTTCTTTCTTTTTAATCAGACAGTAGACATTGATATGAGTGACATTGATTTACAAGAGGATGATTTAAAAATGTCAAGACTTTCGGAAGATTCAAGTTCTGATCATGAGAGCAGAAAAAACAGATTTGAGACTTCTGTTGAGCAGCCTGAGGCAGGGGAAACAACCTTGAAATACGAGGAATCCCATCCTGCAAATGAATCTAAATATGAAGATGTAAATTCAGGTCAGGAAAGTGAAGAGGATGATGAAAAGAAAGCTGTCAGTGACCACGGAGAGGAACATGAATAAACAGTTTGACTTTCATTCATCAATTGTACTTCTGATTTTTTTCTTATTGATAACTTGATGTAATAGATAAAAGTATTTTGTTGAACAAGTTGGTGTCACATTAGAGAACAATTTTGATTTGCTGAATGTCACATTAGAGAGCAATTTTAATTGGCTAAATGCTACATTAGAGAACAATTTTGATTTGCTGAATGTCACATTTTCTTGTCAGGTGATTTTTCAAACAATTCCTTTTTTATGTAGTCCATGAAAGCTCTAATGGATAAATTTGTTTGTGAACTTTATGTACGGTACAAGACAAAAGAAAAATTGTTATTTAATTTAACATTTAAATTTGTGCAAATGAGACTTTTAAAAAATTACATCTGAGCTGTTTATAAAATGTCTAATTAAACAAAAGACATTGATATGTAATGACCAAGTGTTTTGTGTTTTTGAGTTCGTGTGCAAAAATATGTTCTTTAAATTGATCTCTTAAAAATATTCATCCATATTACACAAGAGAAGCACTCCAGTGTTCCTTATTCAAGGAAAGGATGGCTATCTGGACCATAATATTTATAACATAACCTTATACTTAATTGTTTCGCTCAGACTAGATTTTGACTATTCCTACACTAAAAAGAATCAAATGTGAATCTAAATAAAAACTTAATGACTTGTCATATCGAGTAAAATCTTAATTATTAGCCTGGGTCAACAGTCCCTTTATTTCAACACAAATTACACTAAAGTTTGTCAACCAAGACAAGCTTTTTTACTTATCATAAAAACTTTTAATACAATTTATTCCAAAAGTGGGATTATATGTTGTTTTTATATAGATAAAAAAAAAAAAAACAAGAAGTTTCAAGAAAGAAAAAAAAAAGACTAATGATATTTACCAATTTATTTCCATTTTTCACATGGTATCTCATGGTGTATAGAAGAATCGTACAATAAACAATCATGTGCACATGCAGTCAATGAGCGAGTTTAGTGGTGTGTATGAAGTCAAAGCAGTTATTCATAACAGATTTCATGCTACAAAAGGCACATAATATAAGCTACCTTTCCAAATGACATCAAGCAATTTCCATCAGTCAGCAATACACATAATAACATATTTACTTGACATTTCCAAGTATTTACATTTTTAGCCTACACAAAAAATTAGGCCAATGTTTTTTTTACACGTCAGAGTCAACACAGGAATATTAGACTTCCACATAAATTCTTTGACATCTTCAACAATTTTAAGTTTTCTATCAGACAGTCTATTACTAATACCCCACTGTTTACTATTAGTCAATTTATAAACAAATTGATACATTTTTACTACAAAGTGAATGAAATACCTAAATCTTGATTTGTATGTCTTTGTTGATTTTATCCCCGTTATCATTTCTTGTCATCCAAAGAGAAGTTTCAAAATTATTGTAGCAACATTAACACCTATAAGTGGAACTGTTGAAAGAAAGAAATAGCAACATGTTTCTAAAGATAAGTCATTGTATTATTAAAACAGCATTTCAGATAAACATACCAATGATGTTTAAACATCACAAACAAAAACAAACTCTAATAAAATACACAGAAAGACACAAAGATAAAGGTACATTCCTCACTCCATATGCTAGAACAAATTTGTACAAATGCTCCTTCCCTAGTGCTATTAGAGCAGGGAATGGGTTGCCTGAGCCAGCCAGGAAAACCAGAGACTTGGCAGAATTTAAATCTTTGGTTAACATGCATGACGCATAGGACATAAATTTTTTGAAGTAACCTCTGCATTATATTTAAGATAACTTTAGTAAAAAACTAAAGATAAACCTACTAACTATTAGGAACTACTTACATCTCATTACAGTCCTTATAGATCTGATCAAGTTGAGTATTTGTGACTTCACTCCAGGAGCCTCACCAAAGCCACTGTGTTGCTCTGCTCCCCAGCCAACTGAAACAAAGTTTAAAACACTAAAACTAAGTTTAAAAACACATTTTTTGTTCCAGCCTTAATTAACATCAATATGTTTTCAAAGAATACTTCAATATAAGGATCCTTTTTGACAGCTTGCTAAAAAGTCATTTTGTATAAAATGGCAAGCCTACAACTAATGATGTTCAATAAACTTTAATAATAAATTGTCTAAATCAGGTGGCAAAAATTTGTTATTAAATACAAAACCAATGGAGGACAAAAAATAAAAAAACAACAACATATCATCACTTCCTAGACTTCCACTTAACATAAACAAGTTCTATTTAATGAAATCAATTACAGTCGGTTTTCCTGACTGATTTAGGTAACCCATTCCATTCTCTAATGGCACTAGGCAAGAAGGAGCACTAGTATGAATTTGTTCTCTAAGAGTTTAAGGAATAAGAAATGTGCCTCTATCTTTCTGAGTATTTTATTAGATTTTGTTTCTCTATTTTTAAATTATGGTTCAATGTTTTATGTATTATAGCTACTTTCCTTTTTATTTTTCTGTCCTGCTGTCTTTATAGTTAAGTGATTTAACTAATGGTGTTACAAACTCTAATCAAATTTGAATATAATTCGTTTGTTATAAATCTCACTGCTCTATTTTGTATTTGTTCTAGTTTCTTTATGTTTTCTTGAGTTGAGGAATCCCAAACAGAGGATGCTTATTCTATTATTAGCCTGAAGTTAAATAGCATTTTAGTTTTATGTTCCTGTTTGATTTGTAAAAATGTCTTTGAATAAAGACATATCTAAATCTAGCCTATATCCTATCTAGTGTGATGTGCTTGTTCAGGCTGTCTTGAGGTCAACTATAGATGACTGATGAATTTCAACCAATTACTCTGCAAGCGTTTGAGTTTTATAGTTCGGGTGTATTCAATGTAGTTGATCAACAATACAGAATAAACAAGACGATCGATTTACCGAATAAAGAGATGTGGTCAACACTGATGAACAGTTCATACTATATTTATTCCAATAAAAGGCCACAGTAAAAGTCTCTGTCAAAATAAACACGTCTTTACCCTAGAGAATTCTATCACTAACTGATTTTCCGGTCTCTAACCCAACATATCCCAAACGTCCTGTTCAATAAACGTCTTCTATGGTGCGTCGCTAAAAAAACTAATACTATAAATAAGGTGTCTAACACTAGATTATAGATCTAGGTTTATCTTATCTTCTACTTTACAAGATGTTACTTCAAAAAAGAAGATAATAATTATATCCTCCAATGCATTTCATCTGTCATGTATGTTAATCAATCTAGTCTAGATTCTAGTTGAGTACATCAGTACATGTACTAGTCTATAGTTCTATACTAGACTACAGTGAGTATAGAAGGTAATAGTCTAGTATAGTTAATAGTTATATATATATATAAAAACATTATAGATCCATATATTAATATAATATAATATATATAGATCTATATAAATTAAAGTCTATTGAAGTCTTTTTTAGATAAATTGTTACTATACTATACTATGTATATAGATTACGTCATTACTAGATCTAGATATAATAATTAATCATAATTAATGATATTTATATACCATAATTTCCATAATAATCTGATTTTTATAGATTTTTCTATACTATATTATATTTTATTTATAATCTATCTAGAATAGACTTTCAATAGACTTTAAATAATTTTAGACTATTCTTGAGTGACTTAAGTTTGAGTAAAGTTTCAGTAAGAGTCACTAAGTAACTCTAGTCAGTAGTCACTCTAGGCCTCTAGGCTAGGACTAGGACTATGAGGTAGTTCTGAATTCCCCCCGAGTCATGTGGTTGTGTGTATACAATGGGCATCGTGCTTGGTTTTAGTTAGTTTGTAGTGGGAATCTGAAGCGTTTTAAGTCAATATTAAGTGGTTTCAATTTACTCATTAGCGCTAAACTATAATTTGTTAATAACAGAATAATCTAGAGATAACACTTTCATCCCCCCGCCCTTTCCTCTCTGCCCAAAAGTAAACAAGCTTGAACTTGAGTAGAACACTAAAAGTTGGACAGCAGACCAGTGTGTATTGGTCAGATAGCTCCAGGGCTAGTGTGTAGCAGATATGTCGACTAGTTGTTATAAAAGATAAGAAGACTGCCATGCGTTTTTCCTTGTGCGTGATAGGCTTCAGTTGTTAAGCGAACAAATAACACATCTGATGGTCAAGGATAAATCTAGATCTACTCTTACAGTTACACAGGCCAAATGTGTCTTACCCCGCCCTTTCAGTGTTAAATTTGGTTTCTAAGTAATAAAATGCATCTAGATCTGTTTCGTCGACGCATTTTTGAAACTTGAATGTAACATTTTGTGAATTTCTTAAAAATGATAGAACTTTTAATAACATAATAATACATCATGTATCCAACACAAAAAATAATTCTTAATGTTATCAATGTGCATAATGTATTAACAATTAGAGGAATATGAAATACATAACATTTTAAAAAATAGCTGAAGTTTATGAAAATAACAATGTTTCAACTAATATGCATATTATCCCATATATAGGCCTATAAATATAAATATATATATATGTGTGTGTTCTTTTTGTGTAGTTTATACCAAGCCTTTTTTAATCTTACAAGAACGTTTGTAAAAACATCTTCTTCTGTATGTGAATGTATCATCAGCAACGTGTTGACGCTTGTTGTGGACTATAAAGGAAATATCATTGATAATTTAAAGTCATCCTTAAACAGTTCTTGGCCCTTTATGAAAACATTCGAATAACTATTTGAACATTCATGAAATTTGTTGATGTACTCTGTATAT